ACGCGAGTTGTTGCACTTGCGCAAGCGCGATGATGGAGGCGAGTTGCATAATTGCATGCAAGACATGACTGCAAGGTCTAAAGAGTCCCATTTGAATCGCAATCAAAATCGAGCGCGATCTAGAAATTCGACATTTCGGACAAACGCCCCAATTGGAACGAACGACAATCATTCCGCTCGGTCCATGCAATCCGTGTCGCCATCCCAGTTCAACAATATTAATCAAGAATCCTCAGGCAGCTGTAGTGAAGATGGAATTAGTTTGCCGAATCGCCTGGATGATGCGCAAATTTTAGAATCCCTCAACGAAAGATCTGCAAGGAATTCGGCCAATCTTTTCATGTTCAATCCTCTACTCCATATGCCGGCTGGAGATCCTTCCTCGGGTCTTCCACCTCCAGTTCTTACAGGTCGACCAATGTCACCCACTCTCGATTATATGGACACACCGCAACAATCAACTCCATCAGTACCGTTGCTGCAGAACTATGCTCAGCTTCCCCCTAACTTCAATCCGTCCGTCCCTCTCTCGCCAAATCCATCTTACCAAGTTCTGCCGTCACTTGCAAATTTTGGAAGTCCCACTGTGCTCCCAATGCCAAATCCAACTCCTTCGTCGCCCTGCTTACCTTTGAACGGTGAGACATTTTCCTCTAATTGTTTCTATCCTGGATTTACTTCAGAACAAATGGCATCAACAATCAAGCTTCTCAACACCTTTTTCCAGCCTCAGAACCCTCTTCCCTTCAATGCCTCTCCTGTTTCTCAGCCTCAGGGAGTTTGGGCCCCTCATCTACTCAATGGATGTCCAGCGTCACCCAACGCTGTCGCAAAGAGTACTCCTGCAGCTGATTCTACAGCACTCCAAAACGGACTCGAACAAGATGCTTCTTTCCCAATTCTTCCAACTGAAACTGATGCTCATTTGTTTCAAACGAGTAACCAGATGCCGTGCCCCAATCCAACAGGAGATGCCTTTGCAAACAACTATCTTGCGTCATTCGGAGCGCGCCCGAATCCTGCATCAAGCGACCCCTTATCGATTGAGCAAGCAAGGGCCATGCAGTATGCCTACGAGATGTATCTGTCTCAAATGCAAGCTGTATCCCTCATGGCTTACCAACAACAATTCGCCCAAACTCCCGGATTTGTTTCCCCACAAATTTCTCCCTCGCCGCCATCTGTCGCTGTCGTAGGAATGCCGCAATCCTTTGGGACTCTTCAAAATAACCAGGAATTGCCACCAACAATCATCCATGATCCCGTACAACAGTCTCAAGGAACGAGCTCCCCAACAGGCTCTTCGGTGACGCATTCCTTCCATCCCATGGACTCTGATAAGGCAGAAGAAGGAACGAGGGCACGAACGTTCGCTGAGAGTGAAGATGGAGATACACTGACTTCGCAGACTATTGATTACTCTGGAGTTTTGTCTGCATCGCTCCCAGGGATCAACCACAGCATGATGTCTTCGGTTACTAGCCGAATTGCAGAGTCGAAAATGTTGGAAAGCCAGATGATTGAGGGATCCCACATGTTGAATGGGACATGTAGCAGCACCGCTATCTGTCCAGATTTTGGCGATCTTCTCTTCGACTCGATCGCCTCGGGCCAGAGGTTTGGATCCTCACCCCACTCCTTCGTTGGTCAGACTCCTGAATTTGGAGTCTCTGCTTCTAGACTCGCACCGGGAGTTACGAGATGTTCTCCAGCACCACTGGACGACGATGCTGTCATCCTTCTCACAGATGATCCGAGGGCGCCAAACGAAACTGAAAATAGCGATATTGAAGATGCAGCAGACGGGTCCCGTTCAATACTTCGTAAGTGACGCGCCTGAGTTTTCTATTTTCTCATTATTTCTGCCCTGCAGTGAAGCGCGCGAGGTCGATGGAACTTATGAGAGGCGGATTTTCGCGGACATCCAGCCAGGAATTGCGCTGCGAATCCCCAAGCGGAGTTTGCGTTTCCTTGCCAGAAATCAACAAGCCTATTCGAGACTCGGAAGCGAGCCCCAATAGCGGCCGTGATGGTACCGCTTCGAGCATTCTCTCATTCGGGGAGCAGTTGCATTGCGAGGCCCGGGACGACTCTCAACAGGAACATCTTTTTGAAGAGGGATCTCGAGTTCTAAACGATTTTGAAGGACACCTCGAACCCCCAATTGTTCTAATATCTGGTCCTCCTGAGAAAGAACTGGCAAGCCTCGAGTCATCGAGAAATCCCACCTTTGCGCTGGAAACACGTAGAGACGGCAAAAGTGAGGGTTCACTGAACAGCAGTCTTCATAAAGTTCCTTCCGAAGACCTCCTACAGCACCACCGCGGCCGAGTGGGGCTCGCAGACTATCTTTGCTTGGCGGCGGATACAACAGACAGTTGCCAAAACGAGGAAAGCTTTTTGGGAGAGTTGAACTCGATTCAGAGTTCTGGTTTCAGTCAACTTAGTGGAACCTCCCTAAGAATTGCAAGCACCTCACGAAAAACGGCGTCAGATGAAGAAGATGACACCAACAACGCTACAGCAGCAACGACCGCGGCTCCAACTCCAACATCAGTGTGTTTTACCATGGAGGAGGAAAAGAGTGACGCTAACTCGTATCTTCAGCGGGGAAATATCAACCCATTCGCCGCAGCTCTCTTGGGAAAGGATACTACTGCCGCATTCGCGTGGGCGACAGCTGCTCAAGACAGGAGTGAGAAGGTCAAGACCCATCAGGATAGTGTCTCCTCAAGATTACAACCCATATCCAGAAGGCACTCTCTGTCAACCATCTGCCCTCGAGAAGATGATGTTTACACTGAACATGAGATAACCACGCAAAGAAGATCATCCCAAGACGTTCTCTCTGTGTCCCAATCATGGAATCAAGAGACTCCCTCAGACCTCTTTCTATCGCCTCCTCGTTCAACCAATACAACCACATTTGCATCGCCTCAATCGCTTTGGCTTCGAGGAGACGCTGCGGCCTTCGCCACCGCTTCTCCTTATTTTGAGTTGGCAGGGGAGGATGTTGAAGTCAAGGATCCCACTTTGGAGGGGCTCAAAGTCCCAACCCTCGGCTCGCTCTTCCTCGACTGGCCGAGACATGCCATGTCTCCGTCGTCTCAATAAGCTCTCACAGAGTCTGTTCAAATTTTCTTCTTCTTATCATTTTTTTTCACTTCCGATATTCTCAACGTCTGAGTCCCTATTGAATTATGAAACAATAATAGAAATTGTTGTCATATGCTCGAGAACACCATGAAGCTGGTTTGTTGGGGTTGTGCAAAACTGAGTTGATGACCAGCATGTTTCTACAGGCAGATGTGAGGGCGAACAATTGACGAATTTTTGTGCACTCTGGAAAAAACTGATCTCATTGATTTGGCGCCGCACACCGTTTTTGATTCCTTGTTGTTTGAACGCCACATGCGTGATTCCTTCCGTAAAGTGAACCTAAGGTCATCAAGCTCTAAACAACCTATTGGTTCATCCATATAGATGACGCGTGAAGTGCAAACGCTTGTCGGATTCTACTAAACCAGAATGTGGCAAGTAGGGTGTCTGTATCAAGAACATCCTTTCTAGATCAGCCTAGCTCTCTGCAAGCGGTCAACATGCAAATATTCTGTGATGAAACCTTCCACCATACCGAGTGTGCAACCCTCGCGTCGGTTGGATCACTCCTGATTTTACCTGTGGAAACTAAACTATACATTTCATGGCGTAGACAGCAAAAGACACATTCATGAACAAAAGACAATTGTACTAAAAAAGGTCAACTGCTCCACCATGGAGATCAGATGCCTTGTTGACCGTAACACATCAAAGGCTGAACGGAATAAACCAGTGATACAACATGTTACAAAATCTTCCCAACACGACCCAAGAGTTTTCTATACCAGGGTCTAAGAATGCAGACAACGGATACACACATTAATTTGAAAACAAGGACCGACTTGACTGGTTTTATATTTTTTTCTTTAATCTTTTCTTTGATGTTGTCATACCACTTGAGAGATCCTCCTCAGTCGCTTTGACGAGATCCTCCTTAGTCGCTGCGACGCTGTACGCGGGGTGTCATGGAGATACCTTTGCAACCATTTTTTCTTTTTTTCGTCGGCTAAGTTTGGAAGGCTTTTAGTTGGGAAAACTGACACTTTTTTATTTGTTTCGCCGAAGATGTCATCTGAAAAAGTTGCCCATCGTCTTTCCTCCTCCAACTTTGAATTGTTTTGTTCTAGGCGATCAATGAACAGAAGAAAAGTCGACGAGTTGATAAAATCCCCACGACGGGTTTTGAGCTCCCTTTTTGGAATCCTGACATTCGAGAAATGAAACAGTGATTAACACATCATGGGTGGTGTTGTCAGTCGCACCCTTCATCTTCCCCAAATCCAATTCTGAAAAATTCTAATAATTTGAGCAAAATGAGAAAATGAACTGTTGAACTGATCTCCATAAAATGTGTTAGTTTTCACAGGGATAATCAGGAGTGATCCAACCGTAGCGAGGGTTGCACACGATCTCTGTATGGGATTCATGGAATGGCCGAAGATTTCCGTAGAATTTTTGAAACATGCTGATTGTGTGGATGGCTAAGCTCATCTAGAAAGGATTTTCTTGGCTGCTCATCGTGTATGCTGTGGTGCATTTTTTGTTGCATTTTTAACTGTATGGCCCTGTTCTTGGTTTGCTGTTCTTGGGTTCTTCTTACGCGCGCATTCTCGCTCAAGACATTTTTTCACAAATGTTGGCACGGGCCGCTTGGGAATTTTTCATCCCTCACATAAAATGCAAGAAGCAATATAGATGTCGACAAACGCATGGCACCACAATCTGTATGGGACCAATAAAACCATGCACCCATCAGATGTGCAAAACATTGTATTAGAACATTTTGGCAATTGCATCAAGGGAGTCGCTCCCATCCGTTCGCTTCGGTGTCAAATAAAGCTGAGCAAGACGAGACGGTTTGACTTAATAATGGCGAAACAAAAAGCTAAAAAACTAAAAAACTACTTCCACTTCTTTCTCTTTTTAGAGTGCGAGGAACCTTTAGGTTTCGACGATTCAACGCCAGAGCTAGCGAAATACTTCGGAACGGAAAGAGTTGAGAGGCCGGAAGCCTTCAACGAGAAAGCTGCAGGCAAAATCTTTTCTGCGCGATCAAGAACATTCTCCGAAAAGCTGGCTAGAGAAGCGGCATTCTCTTTTCTTCGTTTTTTCGTTTCTTTTGTTGCTTTCAATCCTTCAGATTTGCTGTTAGACGCATTCGTCTCGCATTCTACGACTTGTTCTTTTCTTTTCATCCATTGACGGCTAGGTGTTTCCAATAGGGCTGTCGCTAGAACGTTCTCGGATCGCTTCTGGGTTTTTCGTCTCTTTTTCGGTCGTTCTCCTATCTTGCTCTCTGCCATCGATTTTGTTGCTGAAGCTTCGAGCAAATCGGGATGAGACATTGACGACAGCAACTGTTCACCCTTTTGTTTCTTCCGTTTTGCCCCTGCTTTATCGATAAGCACCTCATAGCTTGTTGCAAATTTGATCTTGTCTGCAGGTTCCTTTGATTCCATCGGACTTTCTTCTTGACGTTCAAGTTCGGCTCGCGAACGCTTTCGTGAAGAGCTCGAAATCATCATCGGTTCTGTCGACTTCATAAAATCTTGCGATATTAAAGTAGAAACAGCTCGCGCTAATAAACGCCCTTGTTGAATAATTCCATTAAATCCGGACGAAACCTTCTTCCGAGCGTCGATCGGTGTTGAAAGTTTTACGTTCCTCTCAGTCGAGTCTCCCTCAGCTACCAACACCTCAAAGGCATCGGCCCTGGAGGCCTCAGGGGCGTCACTGCGCTTTCTTCTTCTTACAGATGAGGAAACAGAAATTCGAACTGCAGGACGATCAATTGAAGCATAAGAATCATCGTTGGTATCCGATAGCGCCTGATCGTCGACGTCCGTCGGTCCGGACGGCTTCTCATCGACATCTTCTTCCGATCTCATGGAGGATCCGAGGGGTAGAGCAGGGGCGAATTCTTCAATCTGTGATGGAATTGGGTCAGTCTGGGATGTCAACTCAACTACAGGAGCCACGGAGTTTTTCTGAAGAGTGGAAGATGTCTGACGATCAAGAACGTTCCTCACTTTAATGACTTCAAGTATTTCTAAAGCTTTCTCATGGACCAAACGTGGCAAGGGATTAACGAGCGACTGAAGATCAGACCATGTGTGCGGTATCTGAAATCAAAATTGGATCTTGAACTCATGTGAATCACATACACTAGTTGCGATTCGAATGACTAAAACAGAATTAAGAAGCGTTGTCGGATGTTCATCCCTCGCCTTCGCTAACGACTCTCTCCAATCGATCAGGCCGGTCTGATTGGAAGCAAATGCAATCCATAGAAGAGGAAAGACCCACCAAAACATTGAATGAAATTGGGGCCATTGGGACTTGATATTTCTTGATCAATGCCGTAGCAGCTGCGACAGAATCAAAAGGTCCCTCAGTGTAAACTTTCAACGAAATTTCACGAGATCTCTCGAATACCGCGCGCATTCGTTCTCTGCCGACCTGAAAGGAAAGCGAAAACTATCGAGCGAGTACCTCAAGTGAGATCCTCACTTCTTCTGAGGTGGAGGCAGATCCCCTGGGGCGCCTTGGTTAACAAGTCGTTTCGTATTTTATCATAGATGTACAACAAATAGTGAGTATCTGATCTCGCGTAGTTAATGAAGTCCTGAGGCAAAGGCCTCGTTCGCCAATCCTCCAATTGGTATCTCTTATCAGCAGATATCTGAAACAAGAACATATAAGATAGATCTCCAACACTGAAATACCAACTTTGCAGTAAAACATGAGGAGATTCGCTAACGAGGCCCCCCCTGGAGTTTCCAAAACACGCGCTGCTTGTCCCGTATCAAACAAATTGACAAGATAGACAGCAAAGTCCCGCTGAAGCCAAATGACATCTGAATCCGAACCGTGAAGAACTTTAACAATTCGAGGATCTGCTGTTATCTCATTCAGTCTAACAAGTTCATCTTGAAGATTCACTGGATCGATAATGAAATCTTTACTTCTTGTGCTCATCTGAATCAGGCACGTGATCCCTCGATACGAATGTTGTGAGTGATGTTCCAAATCTATTGCAACCTCTCGACAACGCGGATCATCGACAATTTCACGGATCATATTATCAAGGTCTTCAGCTGTTCGGATCATAACGAGAGGCGTCGTCTCGAGCGGTTGATAAATCCTTGGTTCGCATAATCCGAACATCTTCTTTCCTTCAGGAGTTGACTGATTTTCCCAGTTCAGAGCGTGAATTTCCTCCTCGTATGGATGAGGCAAAGGGGGAAGGGGATTAATAGGCCCAATGGATTCCCCTGACATCAGCGTTGCAACTTGCAGATGAGCTTCTCTGAACCGGGGATCCAGTGGCTTGATTCCATGTGGCTTAGCTGTTATCATGGAACGAATCGACCGGAATCAACCCGTGAAAATTTCCAGTAAGAAGTTTGAGTTGGAGTTGCTATGAGCGATTTTTTTGCGTGAGATGGGTGACCGGACGAATCCTTATTCTCCTGAATAAATTTGCTCGCTGACTTCAGTGACAAAATTGGATTCTCCAGACGACTTTCCTTTTCAGCTGAGAGAATCGAGCTCATAGGCGTAAGGGGATTC